TAAAGTGGGCATACTCCGAGCTCACTGTCAGTGAGTAAACACTGAATAGCATTCCTTCAGAAAAGAAACAAAGGGCCTATGAGGTCATGGGGAAGAACGCTGCTCTTAGGGGGTGCACCTGCTTTCTTTACCAAAGGGCAGCAAATAGGACACACAGGCTGCCATGTGGACCTTGGATTACCTGAAAGGACAGTGCATTTGCCCCTCTCCTGACCACAGGAATGTTCTCTCGTTAGAAACAAATCATCTTATAAGTGGGACCCACGTGTCTACATGGCAGAGCCCTGGTGGTAGAGGAGGTGACCAGTGGGACTGGGAGCCATAGCCCAGTGTTCCAGACCACCAGCTGCTCCGTGAGCTGGAGCCTTCTACGTCCATGAAGAATTACCCTCTTGGAAACCCACAGGGACAGTTATACTCTGCCCTCCACCTCTGAGCCAGAATTGACTTGATGGCAGTGAACTTGTTTATATGAATTTGGGGCTCATAGTCTATTAGTAGGCTCCAAAAGGAAGTTTGATATCTCTTGAAGATATAAATGAAGGGTTTCTACGGCAATATGTCCCTCGGCACCCCCGTGGGGCTCATCAGCATTCATACCCAAATCCAATTCCACTGAGTCGATTTTAACTCATCCATTGAGATCCTCTGGACTAGATTAGAACTGCTCCCAACCATTTCCCAAGATTGTCAGTTTTTACAAGGGCAGACAGTCGTCACGTTCTCAGGTACTCTTCTATGAGAGAACTTAAAATCATTCAGGGAAATTTTCTATTTTCTTTTCATTTCATTTTTCCATGAATTTTTTAAAGATGCCTTGTATATACCTTTGCTTTTGATCCTTACAAACACTGATGTCACTGCATTCAGAAAAACTAAAAGGATGGTGTTGGTCCATGGGGGTGGTTCATACTAGGACAAGCCTGGAGCCTTATCCCATATGATTCCGGGCCTGGCATTACATACATCACCTGCATGTGTGATGTATGTGTATGTATGTGTCATGGATCCTGAGTCACATGACATGGGATCCAGAATCACCTATTTGCTGTGTGACTTTAGCATCTCCCAGTCTCTCTGTGCTCCATCTCTTTATCTACCAACTGAGGGTTTTAGAACCCCCGGTTCACAGAACTGTCCTGAAACTAGATACCCAAATGCACATAAAACCAAGGACAACATAAGCAAAAAGTAAATATCGTTTTGCCTGTAGCAACATTCTCTTTACACATTGTATACACAAAAATTTATGCGAGTCGATCAAACTCTTGGAGCTATCAATTTAGGTATGAACAGAGAGGTTAGCACTGAGAATCACTCCAACCACTTCTGCACTGGAGACACCAACCATTGATCTCTGTGTTAGACTGGGTTGAGTAGAGAAACAAATCCAGGGCACTTATGTGTGTATAAGAAAGAGCTTTATATCAAGAAGTAATTATATATCAAGCAAACATTCCAGCCCAGTCCAGATCAAGTCCATAAGTCCGATGCTCCGTAAGTTGATAGTAGTCCAGAAATCCCTCTGAAGACTCACAAAGCCACATACAATGATGCAGAATGCAGGAAGATCACAGGCTCCCAAAAGATATAA